TTCCTTCAACTCAATGGCAAACAAAGACAACCCGAAGAAAAAATGGGAAGGTTTCACAATGAAGGAGGTGCATATCAACAAACACATGACAAAGTGTTCAATGGAATCCATCATAACAGCCTATGCCTCACACTGGGATGCCAGGCCACGCCTATGAGAATGGCTGGTATACACAGCATCATCTGCACCCAACAGTGATGAGAAGGACCACCAGAACTCTGTCATTGCTGATGGGAAGGCACAATTGGGACGACCACTTTGGATGATGGCTCGGCAGTTCCCTAAACATTAAACTCTTCTCCAGTGATCCAGCTATTCTATTCCTTGCTGTTTACGACAATGAGTTGAAAACCTTTGTCTTCACCAATAACTGCCTATGAATGTTTGTAGCACCTTGACTCAAAAGTGCCAACATGTGAATTCAACCTACACGACTATCTGTAAATGAATAGATAAACTGGACTACATTCAGAGAACTGAATATTCTCTGTGATGGGAAGAAACTGAGCTCTCAAGTCCCAAAAAGATGTGGAGGAGTTCCAAAGGCATATGACAAAGTGAAAGAAGCCGATCTGAAAGGGCTGCACAACGTGTAACTCCAACTTCATGTAAAACGATGGCGATAATGAAACCGCCACGAGCAGACACAGGTTTGGGAGATGTGGAGAAGAACAGCTGAAAAGTAGAGGATGCTTGAGCTCATGAAGTGACTCTATAGAATGGTACAAGGATGGTTTCTGGTCACTACGTACTTGCAGAAGCCATAGCTTGTGGTGCCCCAAGAGTGACCCAAAATATCAACCAGAAGTTTCTTTGACAACATGTCTTCATACTCACTGATGGAATCAGATACACTGACCAGAGCATGATGTTGATGATGGTAGGTGTGTGCTTTCAGGAGGGGCCACGTGGGAACTCTGCATTTTCAGCTCATTTTCACTTTCAATGCCACTGATAATTCCCATGTGTTGAAGAATTTCTACCCAAAGCAGGGACCTGACACCAGAGAGGGATCTGAAGGCTCTAAACTTTTTATGGTGTACTATTTATTTATTTATTTGAAAGGCAGAGTCACAGGGTGGGATGAGGCAGAGAGGAGAGAGAGAGAGAGAAAGAGAGAGAGAGAGAACTATTCCATCTGCTGGTTCACTCCCCAGTTGGTTGCAACAGCTTAGCCAGGTTGAAGCTGAGTCAGGTTGAAGCCAGGAGTCTGGAACTCTATCCAAATTTCCCATGTGGCAGCTGTCATCTTTCACTACATTCTCAGGAGAATTAACAAAAAAGCTGGATTGGAATTAAAACATCCAAGACTCCACTGGCAAATCCAAGCACCAGAACAGAGTGTGGATCGAGCCAGGTTCAGTCTCGACAAAAACCAGTGCACATTATAGAATGCCAAGGTGAGGTTACCTGTACTGGATGTGACCACAGTGCCCAACCAGCACACATGAGAACCAGGAAGGGAGGGGGCAGAGCCGGCAGGGGGAATATGGGGTACTCCCCTGCAGGATGGCTACTCCTGCTGAAGAGCGTTAGCTGGGATGGGGGCAGACCAGAGTAGGCAAAGCTACAACACCTGTGAGCCTCATGTGAGCTAGATCAGGGAAAAGCCAGGCTGGGCTGACTATTCCTACTGGTGCAAGCATAAATCAGAGTGGGTGAGGATTGGTTGGGCTTTGCCGCAGTAACAACTGGCAGATGCTGACACAGGGGCTAATTATGTTAAGTTAAATCACAGAACCACCTGGAGAGTGCATGATCAGGGAGTGGGAGTGGCCTAGAAGGGAAATAGTGGGCTCCTCCCTCTTAGGTCACCACTCCCACTGGAGGGCACGAAAACCAGGACAGGGGTTGGGGTAGCTAGACAGAAAGGTACCCAACAGCATGTGTGTGGGCTGGATAGTCGGGCTCGTTGTGTTGAACTAGGCTGCAATGTCCATTGACATGTATGAGAGCTGAATGGGATGTGGGACAGACTGGACTAGTCTGCTGCACATACTGGCAAACCAGGATAGGGTGTGGGCCTGGTGGGGGTTATTGTGGGTCCCTTGGACTGGGCTGCAGCTCCCACTGGTTTACGTGAGGGCCGAGTGTGTGCTGGGCAGAACCAGGATGGACTGCAACACCTGTTGGTTTGCGTGGAGGACAGTGCTGGGAAGAAAGCCAGCCTAGCAATTACAACCACCAGCTGATCAGGGTGATGGACCGTACTGGGCCCTGTACTTGCTGGTGCATACAAGAATCTGGTCTGGGAACACCTCAGACAAAATTTCTTTGGGGATCTCCCCAGCCGAACTGCCGGACTCAGAACCCTAACCAAGAAAAGACAGAAGACAGAACAAGTCAATCAACCACCCTGAGGCAGTGAAGGACTGGGCAAATGGAGACTGTAGGATGGACTGTGTCAATCAGTGGATTCTTCAACAACCTCATCGTGCTTGGAATGGCGAGATTGGCAGCGATTCAAGACTGTTGAACTATCAAGGCCACTTGAGCAGGACCCTTGGAGCATGCCCCACATTGGGGACCTGGGGTGGGTGGAAGACTGGGTGGGGCTTCTCCCTTGAAATCCCTCTTTACCTCAGATACTCGAAGGAAACAATGTGAAAATGATGGTCTTGCCCACTTTCCTATAGTCCTTCAACATTTTAACCCTAATTAACTGTGTAAATATTGTCAAAAAATATAATTATAAAAATGGAAAAAGAAAAAAAAAAGTCCAAGACTCAAACCAATGTCCACATTGGATGCTGACATCACAGATGGCAGCCTACCTTGTTGAGCCACCACACCAGACCCGAGATCTAAATCTTGACTTTGCCACAAAATCCCCTGCCCTACGAGAGGAAACCCAAACTGAGAGTGGGGAAGGAGAACCTCAAAGGCCACTGAGTGCCTGAGACAATGGAAGTCGCAGGTGTGGGAGGCAGGGATCCCTGCTGGGTGGTCCCGTGGGAGGGCTTCAAGGGGTAACCTGCCCCTGCCTCTCCCATGGCTTCTGTTGGTTGTGTAGCTCTTATGGGTGTTCCTGGGCTTGTAGAAACATTGCCCTCTTTCTGCCTTTATCTCCACATCCAAATGTCACTTTATCCAAATGGCCCCTTTCCATGAGGACCCTGGTCAGACTGGATTAGGGTCCACCAGAGAGAGCTGACTCGGACATACTATATCCAAGCACGGTCACATTCTGAAAAACAAGGATTTAAACACAGGGAGTGAAGTCAAGAAGGAAGGACACAATTTAACCCTAAACCCAAAGGGTAAATTGATCTCAAGGAGGAAACCGCCTGGGTGGCTCTGAGGCTATACCAGGTAGGGCTGTAATACCAACCTCCACTGTCAGAGGCCATGCTCTAACAGAAGCTATTTCCCCCTCCCTAGGAGGGCTCACATGGTTCCAGCCCTGAGTCATCCAACAGACTACTTCCATCACCGAGGGGCAGGGACAGGTGTGGGTTACACCTGGTATTCCAGGATGCAGCCTGGAACCAGCCCTCATCCCCTATGCTCACCTCTGAGCGGTCAGGAACCACTGGCACAGAGGCTGTTTAAAAAGACTGCTGTCAGTGAGTGTTTATTTTGAGCCATAGAAGCCAGTTCTCAGCACACATTGGGATAAGGAAGTGGTGCTTACTTTAGGAATTTATCCTGCAGCCGTTAAGGCCCTGAGGGCTAAGGCAGAAGGGAACACTAGATCCAAGGAGCGTGAATGAGCCCAGCTCCAACCGAGCTGGAGGGGGGCTACGACAAGGACAACTCATGGCTAAAAACTTCAGGGATGACCTGTGGTGTTTCCAGGCTATCCCCCAATGGGATGAGGAGGAGCATGACACTAAACAAGAAGACAGAAAGGTGCAGGCGCTCGTCCCGGCTAGGGAAGGGAAATCCTCCCCATCACATACTTTCCTGGAACGTGGTGAAGGGACAAGATGTACTCTCTGTGAATACATGATTCCCAGATGAGCGGCATAAAATATGTTTCCCCCCAGTTGCCACATTCGGACATTGCCCACAGTTGAAATGTTCCCTTATCTGTTCGAATGTGCCCATAGCCTGCCAGAGTAAACAGACCTTGTCATTCCTGGGTGTGGCTGCAGGGAGGGACTGACCAATGGTCATACTGGGAACGACTGATGAGAATCCCGAGTTAGGAGAAATGACCTGAAATTTATTCTGGCATCCGCTCACGGCTCAGAAGGTCTTAATCCTCAACTGTTTTTGCAAGCTGATGAGGGGGAAAAAAGGGGATTACCCAGGGGCATGGGTAGCCAATCAGTCAACCAATGGACCACGCCCACCCTCATCTGTTGTCACTCCAACCCCACACATCTTAGACACGGCTACTAAAGGGGAGCTGGAGTTAAGAATGAGCCAGTGAGAGGCCTGGAGACCCCAGCTCCATCATCTGCTGAGAGGTAAATACCCAGAAATGCAAGTTCTGTCAAGAGCAAAGGAATTGGCAGAATTTGAAAGTGGCTGTGCCAATCATGCATGTGTGCGTGTGTGTGTGTGTGCATGTGCAAGAATATATATGTAAAGCCTGCAGCTTTAGTTCCAAGGGATTCTGTGGAGATCACATTGAGTGTATAAGATGGCTTAGCTCTGACCCCAGTGTGCAGGCATGCAACTATGTCTAATTGCAAACGAATTTATGGCATTGGAAACCTACCAGCTGGTTGGGATGATTTTGGATGTGTCCTTGCGGGAGTTTTCAACATGATGAGGTGCTAGGATGATCTTGTTCATTATCACAGGGACATGGGGTCTCCTTGGACCTGAGGGCTTTGTATGTGTGAAATAGTTCCACATCCAGTGGCCTATGTATGCACAGTGGTGGAGGTTACTCTATCCACTAGACAGGACAGGGAAAGTCAGCCTGGACACAGGTCTGGGGGTTGTAGCACATGTGGTGTGGCCTGGGGTTGTGGTCAAGGGCAGAAGCAGGGACCCACCTGGGAGAGGGGTGTAGGCCAGTCTCTGCCCTTGTCCCTTGCAGGTGCAGCTCTCAGCATGAAGACCCTGCTGTTGTTGGCTGTGATCATGGCTTGTGGTAAGAGATGAAGCTGACCTGGAAAACAGGGCCAGCCCAGGGAGGACCCACCTCTGTCCTCAGTGTCCCCTATCTCATTGGGAGGAGGAGGGAAGACGTCTGGAGGGGAAAGAGGGGGCACTCAGAGCCCCAGCGCCCACCAGGAAGTCATTTCTTGATTTCTTCCAGGCTTGCTCCAGGCCTATGGAAACCTTTTGGATTTCCGGAAAATGATCAAGTATACAACTGGCAAGGAAGCTATAACCAGCTATGGTGCCTACGGCTGTCATTGTGGCAAGGGTGGCAGAGGAACTCCCAAGGATGCGACAGATCGGTGAGGCCACCCCAGCCCACCCATCCCTGAATCTCTGCCCAAGGTCAAGGGTGACACTGTAAGGGGCACAGGGACATTGGAGCTGTGGGAAGGCACTCCACAGGGTGTCCTCTGCAGGTGCTGTGTCGCCCATGACTGTTGCTACCGCCGTCTGGAAAAACATAAATGTGGCACCAAGTTCCTGGGTTACAAGTTCAGCATGAAGGGTGGCAAAATCACCTGTGGTAAGAGCCCTACAACTCCAAGTTTCCCTCACTCATTCCCCGAGTGCCCCCTGGGCCAGCACCCCGGGCAAAGACACAAAGGGACATTGTCTCATTCTCCAAGCTCACAGTTGAGTGGGAAGTAAGGATGAGAGGTGGGAGACTCTGAAAGGAAGAAACTCAAAGACTGGGGACCCACCTCTGGATATTCAGGGTCTCCTCCTGATAGTGGTGTGGCCTCAGCTGGGTCATCACAGCTGAACCAAAAGCCCGGGAGGGGAGAACTGGAGGCAATGTAAGCAGAGGGCACGGCATGGGCAAAGGGACCAGAGGGACCGGAAACCAGTCTGTGCTGCCCGGGGACAGTGAAGAGGAGGGCAGTGGTGAGCACTGAGTCTGGACACGTGGGAAGGGCCCACAGCCATCTGGGCCCTGCAGGCCAGGGGTGTCAGGCGGCGTCCCAGAGCAACAGGGAGCAAGGAAGCAAAGGAGCCATGGGGCCACTGGCCTGCCTGGACAGCTCCTGCAATTATCGCCACTTGGGGAGTGAGCCAATGGATGAAGGATCTTTCTGTGTCTTTCCCTCTCTATATATATCTGCCTTTCAGTAAGGATAAACGAATCTTTAAAAAAAAAAAAAAAAGTGAAGAAAGGCCTGGGACCATCTCCTCTGCTCAGCTCTGCCTGCGTCTCAGAAGGGCTTGCTTCCCGAGGTGTACTCTGTCTCCCCAGCAGTCAGAAGCACCTGGGGCACAGCTCCTGGCCTGATGCTGGGACCTGCCAGAGCATGGGCTGTGTCTCTGCAGCTCCCACAGGAAGCCACAGGAAGTCTAACGAAGCCCCGCCCGGTGCTATGTTCTTTGATTTCAGCCAGACAGGACTATTGCAGGAGTCAGCTGTGCCAGTGTGACAGAATTGCAGCCCTCTGCTTTGCTAGAACCCGGAGCAGCTACAACAGGAAGTATCAGTTCTACTCCAACAAGCATTGCAGCGGGCGAACTCCCAGGTGCTGACAGCACCTCTGCCCTGGGCCTCCTGGGGCCCCACAGCTGGATTCGCTTCCCTAGTACCCTCCCCACCTATCCAGCCCTGCTCCCTGCCCAACAAGAAAACACGGGTCTCCCACCCTTAAGGCAAAGCAGGAGCCCTTCCCGCAAACCCCCAGCAGGAGAAACGCAATGCTTATGTCTGGCTAGGCCCTTTCTCCCGCTTCCTAGGGCTGTAGATTATCTCTCTTTCCAACAGAGGCAGGCAAAATTCTGGGGCTCACTTTTAAATAAAGCAGTTCCTCGACAAACTCTGTGCATGCACATGCGTGTATGTGTGACTGGGTGTGTGGTGGGCGAGCGTTACTGGAGGGTGTGTGAAACTCCATGGGCTGTTAACAAACTGGGCGAATACAACATATTGTAAGGGGTAAAAAGACAGGTTTGGGGTCAAACGTCTGGGTTCAGTCGCAGCTACCACACCTCCCCATGGCTTTTGGGCTGTTCAAACTGCAGAGAAAACTGATGTTTCCTGCATGGGCTTATTTGAAAACAAAGACATTCAGGGCATCTAAAATACCTGGTTCATGTGCCAAGCTGCCAGTAGCATTAGCAGTGGAACCCAGACGCTGCTCCTGCCCAGGCTGGAGCAAGTCCCTGCCAGGCCACATGAACACAGAATCAAAATGGAGTTGATTGCATCAAAAGAAATAAAACCAGAAGGCATGCACCTGCCTCTGCCAGAACCACAACCTTGCCCAAACCATTCGCCTGGTGCAGAAAGTTCCCTGCAACTAGTTCACCTCTTCCAAAGCTACAGGACGCAAGTCCACCTCTTCCAAAGCTAAAGGCTTTGCACTGCAGGATGCAGGGGAGACGAAGTGTGGTCCTGAAATCCAGAGGCTCACAGGGAAGTTCCCCTCCAGGGCTCCACTGGCTAGCTCACAGTTTATCTGTGGGAAAGGTAAATTCTTGAACCACAATATGGACAAGTTTTTTCTTTGGCTTGTGGTCTACACCCTCTGTTTCTCCCCCTCTATTTTGAAATCTGCTTAGTTTTACTTATAGTAAGACAAAGATAAATGGAAATAAAAATAAGGCAAAGCCAGCTTCCAAGCTTCTCTTCTGGCATTTCAGCCAGGAGGGAAGGAAGACCTGTCGCATGAATCATTCTGCCCTTTTAGACAGCTCCATGGCAACCTGCACACCCGAGAATCATCGTTTCGGGAAATGAAGAATTTGGGCTTGCCTGGTCTGTACTTTCCTTAGGTGATGAGACAAGCTTGCCTTCTTGACCTTGGACCTTGCTCAAAATCTTGAGCAATAATCAAGGCTCTCTGGCTGCCACGGATAGGAAAATGGAGCCCCACAAATATCATTTGTAAGAACCATTTTGAAAATTGCTTCCCAGCACAGCAGGTTGATGACACAAGGAGAGATCATTTTGTTATTAGATTCAAGGTCACAATTGTGGTTCCACCCAGGCCCAGTGAAAAGGTAAACATTTCAGAGTTTGTGTCATTTGAAACTGGAAGAAAGGGGGAGAATAAAAGAGGTGATGGGGGCCGGTGTAACAAGCGAATCCCCCATCTGCAGTGCCAGCAGCCCATTTGGATTCTGATTCAAGTTCTGGCTGCTCCATTTCCAATCCTCTCACTGCTAATGACCTGAGAAAGCAGCAGAAGATGGTTCAAGTCCATGGACCCCTGTACCCATGTGGAAGATCCAGAACAAGCTCCTGACTCCTGCCTACAGATCAGTTCAGCTTCAGACATTGCAGCTATCTGGGGAGTGATTTAGCAGATGAAGATTCCTCTCTCTGCCGCTTCCTCTTTCCTGGCCAGCCACTGGAGCCATGCGGAGAGTGAATCAGCAGATGCAAGATTTCTCTCTCTCTGTTTCTCCTTTCCTCTCTAACTCTGCCTTTCAAATAAATAAATCCTTTTATTTAAAAAAAGAAACATTAAAGTTTAGCCATATGAACAGATAGCCTTAACTTGTTCAAGGCTGTCAAAAATATAATTTGGTTTCAATCATCATTTTATAAACTGGTGATTTTAAATCACTATTTTTCTGACTCATGGTTATAAAATGGAGGCTAGAAGATCTTCGCGTACATATGCGTTTATGTGTGTGGAACTGAGCTCCCATATGTAGTGTCTTGTAGGCGGGTGCTGGGTACCACAAGGCCCCGGCCTCCCAGCCTCCCAGCCTCCCTTCTTTAGCTGGAGAGTTCTTGTTAGGAAATCCACTGTTTACTAAATTCAACTCACTGAACCTACGAGTGCCACAGCTGGTCCTGCAGGAGGCTCCGATCACCTGTTCCATGAGGCCGTTTGCTTCCCCAGGACGTAATCTTGATGATCAGTCTCATTACCCAGGAGTCCCAGGCTCCAAGCAAAAGACAACTACCACATGCAGGTAGACCCTACTGACTGGAGCCCACTTGGCCATCAGAAGTCCCTAAAGAATAGGGCATGGCCAATCCATCAGAGGAAGGTTATGAACACCACAGACCAACCAGAAACTCGGACAGCAACTGAACTTCCCCCTCTTCAACCCAATTCAACTTAAAAGAGCCATCACTCTTTGTGGCCACTGCTGTGGCCTAGTAAGCAAAGCCACTGTCTACAATGCTGGCTTCCCTTAAAGGTGCAGATTCGATTCCCCTAGCTACTCCACTTCCAATCCAGCCTTGCCAATGCACCTGGGAAAGCAGTGGAAGATGGCCCAAATGTTTGGGTCCCTGAACCCATGTGGGGGACCAGGAAGAGGTCCCAGGCTCCTGACTTTGGCTTAGTCCACTCCCAGCCATTGAGGCCATTTAGGGAGTGAGTCAACACATAGAGTTTCTCTGTCTTTTCTCTTCCTGTAACTTTGCCTTTCAAATAGATAAAAGAAGTTAAAACAAAACCTTTCACCCCTAACTACTTGGTAAGCTTGGGAATTAAGTGATAGCTGCCCAGAACCTTGCTCCACACTTTGCAATAAAAGCCTATTTTCTTTCACTATTCCTTGATTGACTTTCTGTGCATCCAGAAAGAACAAGCAGTGGGTGGAGAGGCAAAAGAAACATTTTCTTAAAACAAGCAAACAAACAAAAAGGTTTAGATTTTTGAAAAGGAGAGTGACAGAGAGATTTTCTATATACTGGTTTGTTACTCTAACAATGCCAGTGGCCAGAACAAGGCCAGGCCAAACTAGAAGCCAGGAACTCCAGCAGTGTCTCCCATGTTGATGGTAGGAACACAAGTACTCATGCCATTGTCTACTGTCTTCCCAGGCGCATTAGCAAGGAAGTGGATTGAAAGTGGAGCAACCAAGGCAAAAACCAAGTCCATAGGAGATGCCAGCATTGCAGGCCAGCTTTACACAGTACACCACAACACCAGCCCCCAAAATGAGAGGTTTTAAAGCACATAAATTTACACAGCTGGTCGCTTCCTCAAATCAGTGAAAGAGTTATTGCTTCTCTGATACATAAGAACCTGTGTGGTCAATATTGATCAGGGGTTTTCTTAGGAGAATTTCATATCTTATACTTGCTTACCCAGACCTTCCCAGAAGAGAGAGGAGAGAAGAGGGAACAAGGGGCCCATTTTTATGTCCATGAAGGCCCCCAGTCTGAATGCACTCTCAGGCTGCCTGGTCTACAAGGATAGGAATTCCTGTCTGTTTATTTTGTTCCAACAAACTCTGTTAAAATCAACTTCTCACCTTCTCGCTCATCAGCCATATTGTGGGGAGTAGGGTGCTAAAGCCGCTTCTGGGATTGGAAGGGGCCGTTACAAGATGGCGGCTGACCCAGGGCCAGGAAGCAGAGCTGGTCTCACCAGCAGGTAAACAGGAAGTCACAGGGATAGGCTAATGCCCCTGCTGTGATTACTGGCCTATCAGATAGCGCCAAGTGGACCCTCGGGGAGAAGTGATTGGTGGAGAACGATATAAAAGTAGCCAGTAAAAGCTAGGGAGGACAACAGATGGACGAAGATGGACAGACAGAAAGATTGGAGGGTGATTAAGAGACTGGGGGGCGATGAAGAGAAAGACTGGGGAATGAAGCAGAGGGTACGGGAAGAAATGTGGGAAGAAGGGTGGTGGAAAACAGGAGGAAGGGCGGTGGAAGAAGCTGGTAGGAAAGCTTAGACCAATGGGTACAGGCGCAGCGGAGAGGAGGTTTTAAACGCAGCCGGTTTTGGCAATGAGAGGTCCAGTTGTCGGCTTTTCCTGGACCCTCAAGAGTATGTCTTGTTCATTTTTAGTGTCGCTGCTGCTGGCCAGCAGTGGCACCAAATCCTTCATCATCAATGGAACAAGCTCTCAGGGTTCAAACCAGAGGCAACATCAAGGCTGTGTGCTCAGTTGGCTCTGATCAAAAGAAAATCACCTGGCGGCTTCACTGGAAATTTAGCATGGATACAGTGATATGAAACTGGAATTGTAATTTGCTGTTTAAAGTCGCAAGGTTTTTACTGCTGCCTGCAGCAGCATGAACTGGGTTTGGAGAGGGAGGCAAGGTGCGGTTGAGAAAATAAGAAATTAAACACCATGAAGACTGTGACAGCAGTCTTCTCTGACGAGCAAGGCCAACCCAGAAGGCTCACTGCCTCATTCTTTTATAGAATGATTTGGGGAATCAAGAGAAGGAATTGATGTAACATAAACATTGATGTCTATGTCCCCCATTGATGTTAACCAGCCAGTGCTTGGTGACTAGGAAGCATCAGTGTGCCTAAATCAAGAAGTCAGTCGCGACTGTCTCAAGGATATCTTAAAGCACTGCCCAACTGTGGACCCTCACCCACAGGCCTCTACTTTGGTCTTCGACTTTGGCCTGCTCATGGGAACATAGCCTGTTCAGATTGACCTTGGTCTTTAGCATCAGCAATCTGTGAACTCAAGATTCCGATCATAGTTTGCCCTGCTCTTGCACGTCAAATCACACTTACTTTTTACAAACTGCCTGCAGCAGTTTGGGTGGAGTGCTGACCCATTCTCAGTAAACATTGGGAGATGTTTTGATTTTTGATTCTGAAAACTATCTTTTAGGCTTCCCGGACAGCTCTGATCTACAGCTCTTGCTGTTCTTTGAGCACTCCCAATGGACAGCTGACTTCACTTTCCCGTCAGCCCCTGCACGTTTGTTTTTCTCCACAATTATGACTCTGTAAAGAGGTCACCTGATGCTAAGAATATCTGTGCTCAAGGGATAGCTTGGTTCTCCACCCTTGGCTTTTCTTGCTGCATTTG